GCACTCCTGTTCCCATGCCACCTCTTCTGGGATTCTCCCCCAGATTGCCAGAAAGACCTTGTAAAATGAGAACTACAATGATTCCATGATCTCCTCGGGAGAACTTTTCAGTGGCTCCTCATTGCCATGATGGCAAAATCCAAGTGTCGTCAACGTGGTATTCCAGGTGCTGCCTGAATTCCTGCCTCTTCTCCCACTACTTGCACTCAGCCATCCTAACTGCTTCCTCTCCATTCCCAACTCTTAGCATTCTCCTTCTCATACCTTTCCACTGAAATTGGCTGACTCAAGAACTGAGGAGATTAGCATGTAGGAGGTTTACTAGGGAGTGCTTCAAGTTCAACAATATAGAAGGGAAAGGAAGGAAGCAGTATTGGACAGAAGTCAAACTGCATAGGGATCTCAACAGAGGCCTCAGCCATTCCTTCCAAGAGTTTAGATGAGGTGATTCTTCAAATCTATCCAAAGTTGGGATGCAAGGACCAGGCTTATCCCCAGGTCTACCAGTCATTGGAAGCCACCCTGGAAAGTCATTGGAAACTACTTGGGCACAGTGGCTCTCTTCGGATGAGGCAGTCTCCAAAGAACAGACAGCTGAGGGCTGTCTGCCAAGTCATTAAAATAATAATTTACCATTTTGGTAGAGATGTTGTGCTTACTGATGGCTGTGATACCAAGTCTAAAGGCAGGGGGAGTAAATTCCATTATGTGTGACCCAATCGGATTCCCCTTCCTCAGGAAAGGACTTTAGGCCAACACCTTCATTCTACAGATGGGGAAACTGAGGCCTCAGAGAGAATCTCAGATAGCTATCTCAGTCACAGTCTTATAATAAATAGCTAATATTTGAGCATATAATTTTTTCTAGGCTTGTACTAGATGCTTTAGATGCTTTATCTAACTAAACAACCATGACAATCCTACGAGGTAGGTGCCATTATTACCTTCATTTGATACACATGGAAATAGGTTTAGAGCAGCCAAATGAGTAATTTCTCCAAGATTACACAGCTATTAAGTGGTGTGTCTGGGATTTGAACCCAAGTCATTCTGACTCCAGAACCCATAACTAGAAACCATTAAGATGAATTACTTTTTCTCTGTGCATTAAACTAGCATACTCCACCTTGTATACCAGGGAATGCTATGTACATGTTTATATGTGTGTATATATGTGTGTGTGTTATTGCTATACATGTTATGTTGTTGCTAACACACATAACAGATTTTATATGAAGAAAACTTTTACGTGAAAAATTTTGTGTATATTTTACACATATATATGATGGGATTTATTTTTAAGAATGAATACAACACTACCACATAAAGCACAATATTTATTTTCTGTTTCAGGGTAAGAAGATAGGCAAATGTGTTTCTAGAGAGAAAATTAGTTTCATATTAGCTATAAATCAGAGAATACACAAGTAATTTTCAGCTTCCATGTCCATTGCATGCCAGGTTCTCTGAACCTGGTGGCCTTGCTCCTTCCAGAATTCATGTCTCTTCAGACAGAAGCTTTCGGTTCCAACCAAGAAGGGTATGCATCTGAATGCCTTTCAGCAAACCTGAAGGGCTCTCCTCCTCCTTTCCCCAAACTACCAGGTCTGTAAGGGAGCAGCCTGTCCAGGAAGGTGGTCCCCACTGAGTTTATAAAACACCTTCCCTGAGACCTGAGAAACCACTAAAGTAGATTTCTCTTTTCTCTCCTGCTCCATTAAAATGAAACCTCCATGAAAATGAAAAAGAATCTGAAATGTAAAGATTTCCCGATGTCGAAATGGTGTTAAATTACAATAGCATAATGTGGTCCAAGAAATTCTAAACTGTGTCAGAAACTGTAGATTAATTTGTTTAACAAACATTCATTGTATTCCTACCAAATGCCAGGCCCTGGGCCAGATGCAGGAGACTGCAGTGTTTTGGGAGTTTGCCATTTAATACAGTACTTCTCAAATATTAGTCTGGATAAGAATCACTTTGGAAACGTGTTTAAAATGCATGTTCCTAAACCCCAACCCAGTTTCTGATTCATCAGATGGGACTAGGGCTTAGGAACCTGGAATTTTAGCCACTCCCTAGATGATTCTAAAGCAGCTGGTCCTCAGTTGTATCTTGAAAAACATTGACCTAGTATGTTTTTAAGTTTTGATCAGCCATTTAATCAAGCCACTTAAACTCAGGACTTCAGGAGGTTAGAAGAGTTACATGACCTCTAAATTCTTCAAGAAACCTTAAAAAGACTTCTTAGAAAGGCTTTCTATGCAAGAACAGCACACCAATATGACACAATTTCTTTTCAAACAGGAGAAAGACACTGTGTATAATCATATGGCTTATGTGGCTGAAGAGAAGAAGTTAAAAGGTTATCATTGGAGCGATTCAAGAAGGGGTGTGTGTGTGTGTGTGTGTGTGTGTGTGTGTAAATTATCAACTTGTATAATTAAGCTTTGTGTACTTTACCCTGTGTTTACCACATGGATATTAAAATTCAATTTAAAAATAATCATTTATAAGGATGTGTAAGACCAAAGAGGGTAAGGGGTTTAAAGATGTCATTCTAGACAGAGGTACAGGGAAAGAGTTGGGACAGTGGCAGGAAAAAAAAAAACAGGAAGGAGGGAGAAATTCAAACTTCTTGATGAGGGCACCAAGGAAATCCTCAGCAGCTGATGTAATAGATGGCTAGATATGGACATTAGCAGATGTGGGTGCAAATAGGCTAAAGAATTCAGATACCGTGATCCAGACACTGTGGGCACAAAAAGAAGGAAAGGAGGAAGGAAGGGAGAAAGGGAAGAGGGAAAGAGGGGGCAAAGGCGGAAGAGAGAAAAAAACTGAAAGAAGAGGCCTCTGGCCCTAGGGGGAGCTTACAATCTTGGGTTCTGAGCAGCCATGAGGCTTTGAGCAAGTTATTTGCTCCAGTCCTGTATATGAGTCTTTAAAATGGAGCTGGACCTCTCAAAGCCACCATGAGGAACAGTAGAATGGTGTATGTGAAATGCTATTTGTAAACTATAAAGGGTTGCTAAATGCTACTTATTAATACATTCTGGCTGAAGGTTAGACCAACTGCAAGTGTGGATATGAGCATGTGTCCCATTTAGCTCTCCAAGTGACTTCCCACATCTTTCCTGAACCTGACCCCCAAACTCACAGGGGTTTGCTAAGAGGTTTTTTTCCCCTTTTCTTTTCTGCTCTGAAACAATTTGGCTGTTGCTTTGTGCAGGCTTGAGCATCAGATTCCTTTCAGCTCCCCCCTCCTGCAGCTGTTCCTCCTTCCACCTTTCCCCAGGCAGGCCCAGCTATTGGCCTAGAGGCTACCTGCCTCCTCCTCCTCCAAGGCCTGTGAGTCTCCAGTTGGAAGCCAGAGGCCTCCAGGGACCAAGGCAGCTTGCTGGAGGCCCTTGGGGAAGGAGGGAAAAGAAGATAGTCACTAAAATTAAATGAATTTTCTATAACTGTTTTTTAATTAAAATTGCAATTCTTTTTCTATGCAGAAGAGGCTCTTTAAGAACAATTGCACTCCCTGAGTGGCAGGCAAAGAGCTCAGCAGCTCTTCCCAAAGCCAGGGAGGGAAGGGAGGTGAGAGCAGAAGTGATGGGGTGACTGGTCCTTCCCTCTCAGGGCTAAGAAAGCCAAAAGGAGAAAGGGCAGGAAGATGGAAGGAGGGAGCTGCTTGGTGACTTCCCAGGCTGAGGCCCCTGGGAGAGAAGGCTGAATGTATTGGGAATTCCAAGCTAGGATTTTGTGTTTTCTTTTGTCCCAAAAAGTTATGCCACCTTCTCCCTTCCTTCTCACCCCTGGAGGGCCCCAGCCACAAGCCTTGAAGCTGCAGTGAGAGCCACCCCACTGCCTTGGCCTTTGGGACCCCTTGAGCAGGAGAAGAAAACCAGAAAACCAGAGAGAGAGAGAATGAGAGCAAGAGACCGACCCGGAATGGAAGAAGTAATGGAGGAGGGAGACAGGGGGAACTAGATCGGAGTCCACACCACTGAGAGACAGAACTCCTTAGAGGAAGCGCAGGGATTTACAGGACCGGAGCACAGAAGAAAAGAGTAGAAAAGGAAAAGCAGTTTCAAGCAAAAGAAAGGAAGGAGAGGCAGACAGGGAGGGGAAAAGCCAAGAGTAGCGAAGCTGAGCGATCTGCAGCAACTTTGAGAAATAAAAGTGAACTGTCTGTGGGCGGCTGCTGTGATCTCAGCAAAAAGCCGAGCTCAAGGCTCAGGGATTCCGCCGCCCACACTGTGCCCCGCCTTATTTTGGATGCCTCCAACTCCAGCTTCAGGCACAGTACACGAGTAGGGGTTGTAAGGCCTGGTTAGTGCCAGTGCTGCACGGGAACAGCGGATCCCTGCAACAACCAGGTGTGCGGGCGCTACAAGAAGGAGCCGGGGCCGCTGCGCCCGCTGCGCGGACTTCGCCCGGTGCTGTACACGCTTTAGGAGAGCGTGTCCTGAAGTGTCCTTCCTGGCCCTCCTCGCTTCCCAAGATTTGTTTGCAACGTCTACATCCCTCACCACAGCATAAGCACTGGGGCGAGGTGGGGCGAGAGGTCTCTTTGCAGGAATTAATATCGATTTCAGTCTCCTGCTTCCTCAAAGTTTCTCTTTGACATTGGCGAGACTTATTCTAAGTCAGAAGAAAATAAAACCTTGCCTATTCTGGGCCCATGATTGCACAAAATCCAAAATGCTGCCGGCATGAAGATGCAGCTGGAAGACTCTAGAAACGTAGCATTAGGAGGCAGGGACTTTATAGTGTCCGGAGATAAGTTCCTAAATAAAGAATTACGCAGTGGGAAATGAAGAAGGAGGGTCTGAGGGGCCGACCTCAGAGGTACAGACAGAGAAATCGAGAGCGAAACACTCAAGGAAGTGGAACAAATCGTCGTAGCCAGGCGTCTGCCTCTCTGGAAACCCGAAATCCGCCCAAACCTCATCCCAGGCGCTCACGGTACCAGTTGAAGGGCCCCGCACTATAGGGGCTGCCACCCTCTGCCCCCGGAGTCCCCACGCCGAGACTCATCATTTGCTGGCTCTTTCTTCCTTTTCTTCTTTTGTTTTTTTATCCTTCAAATACAAGACAAAAATACACCTCATTTATCATCATAGATATATATATTTCACTCTCACCACATAAATACAAAACATCCAAATATCCAAAACATTCAGAACAAAGTTAGTAGCCTGGATTCAGTGACACCTACCCGCGTTTGAATCGTTCATTATTTTCTTCACTATTTGCCTAGAAAAAAAAAAAGATGAAAAAGAGGGGGGAGTTTCCGACGTAAATAATTTACAATAAAATTACTATTTTAAAAAATGCCTTTCGCTTGCTTCAGATGGACGAATACATTCTAGATACTGCGGCACCTCGCAGTCTGGGTCTGTGAATTTGGTTAAAATGTGGGTGGCCGTGGCTGTAGGGACGATCGCTGCTGCGCAGGGTAAGGAAAGAGGGTGTCGCGGTTCGTGTTCTGATTTGGGACCACTGAAACCCTAAGACTGGGGAGGCGAGGGGAGTGTCTTTCCTATCAATCACACAAGACGCTGTCTGGACTCTGAGACTACTGCTAGAGGAGGCCCGACCGCCCAGCGGCGTCCCTGTCTCCCCTTCCGCAAAGAACTGCTCAGAAATCCAGCCGTTTCCTGCGTGCAGGAAAGGATTTGTGAATCCGGGAGTTTGGGAGAAGAGGCAATGAGTGCTGACTCGTTTTCCAAGCCGAGCGATTGTGCCCAAAGCTACGCTCCTGGGAGGCCGTAGGGTGAAGCGCCGGCGCCCAGACTACCGCCGGCAGCCGCTTTGCTCTTTCCTGGAGGAGGGAGAAGCTGTCGGCCACCGCCCCGAACAGCCTCGGAGAAAAGATTCTGAGTTTTCTTTGATTAGCGGCGTTGGGTTTTCCTTTGCTTTTCCCCCGTTAAATTCCTGTTTAAGGTTACAATACCCAGAACCTTAATTTTGCATTGCCCTGTGGGGCATTCTCTATCCTGAATTTTCTTACACCTTCCAAACTTCATCATTACGAGTATTTAAAAACTGGTTCCACTTCATCTGGTTTTACGTAGCAATTGCTTTTATTGCTGATTAGATCAAATTTATTAGTGTCGTTGCCTACCAGGACGTTTGTTACTGTTTCCTGGGGTCCGGGGTGGTTGTGATTGGAGTTGCCCTAAAGGGGGGAAAAACCGCAGGATTTGTCCCGCCAGGAAGCTGTGTTCTGTATCGACTATCCCGAGAGATCCGCAAAGCGGGGCCCAGGGGCTCCCACAAGCCCTGGTTTCTCTGGCAAGAGGAAGGAACGTCCTCCCTTTTTGGTCTAAAGAAACCTGGAAGCCCCTGGGGTCTGCGCGCAGTTTTCCTCTTTCAAATATTCCTAGGAATAGTCGGCAGCGGCAGCAGCCGCGGATCTAGAGCAAACGCCCTATGCTTTGGACTTAGAACCAGTCTTTTCCCTCCTGGGCTGGGCACGGGGTCAGGGCATCAGGTTGACTAACTCGGGCATTTTTCCCAATTCTTTGGATCGCTCCTGGATTCAGAAGGAAGTTGGGGGTTGGGGAGGAATCTCGGAGGAAAGGGAGAAAAAAAAAGTAGCCCGAATGAGATAAAATTGGTAGCAGAGCCTGGGTGGGAAAGGAGAGCTGTCAGAGGCCTGGTGGGAGCCAGGAGCCCAGCGCAGGAGCTCTGGGCACCTAACGCGCGTGAGTCCATAAATATCACCACAATAGATAGTATAAATATAAATACAGGGAAACACTTAAAATCAGTCCAGCGCTTTTTTCTCGGCCCCTTCTTTATTGTTGGTCCGGGAGTAAGGCTCGAAGGCCGAGGAGCTCAGATATCGGGCGGAGAGTTCTTGCAAATTCCCAGCTAGCGAACCAGCCATTGTTAACGGGGCGGAGGACAGGCGGCTGGCGACGGAGCCGAGCAGCGAGGGCACCGGCAGGCTGAAGAGGCTGTGGCCCGCGGCCGGGGCGCCCGCGTGCAGTCCCCCCGGCCCGGCGGGCCCGGGGCCTGGAGCACCGCCCACAGCGGGGGTGCGGACGCGGCGCCGCTGGCCGGCGGCGGCGGCTGCGGCGGCCGAGCCGGCAGCGGCGCCCGTGCCAGGGCCGGCAGGCTTGACCCGCGCAGCGCTGAGCCGAGAGCGCCCGTGGCGCAAGGCGGCAGCAGCGCAGGCAGGCCGGGCGGCGACAACAGGCGGCCCTGCTCCAGCAGCCGTAGCACGCTGCACGTGGCCGCGGTCTCCGACACCACCGAGCGTAGCTCCGAGTCCTTGCCCTGGTCCTTCTTCTGCTTGGTGCGCCGGTTCTGGAACCAGACCTTCACCTGCGCGCCGGGGTGCGGGGAAAGTGGGAGAGAGGGGCAGGGAAGACCAGCGTCAAAGGAAGCGAGCTCCCGGGGCGCGCGGCTCCAGGGCTCTCCCCAAGCCCCAGGCCTACCCGCAGCCCCACCCAGCAGCGGGAGAGGTCCGGGCTGGGGCGCTGCTGGGGGAGCTGGCGCCGCCACGAGGGGGACACAGCTGCTCCACTGGGCTGCGCTTCCGGGTCAGGGAAGCAGGCCCAGGCAGGCGCCGCTTACACAGAACAAAGTAATAAAATGCCCACGGCAGGAACTCGAAGGAAGACCGGAAAGGGTTTCACTGGCTCCTGCGCTACCCCGCAGTGGTGTTTGGGGCTCACAGATGTGTGAGTGCGGGCCCCAAAGCCGGAATTTCCGGTGGAGGGTGTGAGGCCCTAGGCTGAGGTGAAGGAAAAGGGAAGAAGGAAGAGGGAAGAGAGAAGTGGGAAGAGATGGGGGAAGCGAGTATTGCCCAGGCTTTCTGGACCCAGGCCCCTGGCCCAGTGGGCTCAGATTTAGTCCTAGAAGCGCTACTCCTGGTGAAGGCTACAAAGGACCATTTCCTGCTTCAGACGTGACCATCGTGACCATCGGCTAGCAAGCAGGGAAAGTGGCTGCAGGAGAATAATATGTGCGGGAGAGTTTATGCAGACGGAGCTTTCTGCACCTCCTCTCACCAGATAGCTGCATTGAAGGGTCTGAGTGATACTCTTAGTTTCTCTCTCCACTACTCTGAGTCATGAACTTGGAATCATGGGAGAAAGTAAGGAGGCTAAGGTGGACTGAACACTCCCCACTAACCTCCTCTCTCATTCTTCTGCCCCTCTGCAGGCCTAGCAGTGGCCCAGAAGAGTTTTGCAGCAATAGGGAAAGACTATCCTGTCTAGATTTTATAAACTAAGAGGGGTAATAGCAGAGAGAATAGAAAAAGCTACCACACCAATCTCAAACTCAAAAAGAACACCCCTATCTGTTCTGTCAGTCCTCAGCTTTCAGCCCAGATCCCAGACCTAAAATGCTCTCCACCTGCTTCAGGGTTGGGCATGGGGAAAAGGGTCGGTCTTCAGAAAGAAGGCTGCCTTAGCTAAGCCAAACTGGTGACATGCCACTTGGCAAGTTCTTGGGTCCTCTCCTGGGCCCAGAGCCCACATGGCCAGCTCCAGGGGCATCATACGGATTTAATGTAAAGGGAAAGATCTAAAGCACAATCGGCAGTACTGGCTTCTGGGTCCTAGATCTGCTTCCCATCACATTCCTCACACATCACTGGTACAGAAGACAGGGTCTCCCAGGTGCTCAGGGCTGGGGCCAGCTCAGGATGGGGAAAGCCTTCCTTTAAGGGTCAGGGCAGCCTGATCTGCACAGGCAGATCTCCAGGAGGGCGTACACCTTTCTAATTCCTAGGAATCACCCATGGTGCTGGGGCAGGGGGTGTTAGACTTAGCCTCACTCCTGCAGAATGGGCCTGGATGCTGTGTACAGCTGGGAGGGCCCACAAGGGGTGGGGCCTAGAAATCTAGCCAAAATGGGGTACCCCAAACAAGGGCAAAGGACAGTTCTTTGTAGAGCAGAAGCAAGAAGGAAATGCTCAAAACCAGGGGCCAATAAAAATTCCAAAAGGACAGGATTTGGGGCCTCTTGGGCCTAGGCTAAGGTGGATAAAACATGGGCCCTGGAAGATTTGGGGATGGCAGGAAGGGTGGGGGGAAGGGATGTATTATTTAGGGGAAGGAATCCTTAGGCCTTTCTTACCCATCCTGCCCATCTCCTCCACCTCCCAAGGGTAGCTCTGTCCAGAGCAGGTTAGGAGGTGAAGAGCAGGCTAGGTAGGGGTCGTGGGGAGGAAGGCTGGTGCAGAACTGTGTGCGGCCTGGCCGCTGGGTACCTGGGTCTCGGAGAGGTTAAGCTGCCGGGCGAGCTCGGTCCTCTCACGGCCCACCACGTACTGGCAGCGCTGGAACTCCATCTCCAGCCGATAGAGCTGCTCCGCGGTGAAGGACGTGCGCGTCCTCTTAGGCCGGTCCAGGTCCAGGCCCTTGGGCAGGATGATCTCTCGGATGGACCCCTTGGCATCTAGGGAAGGGGAGATGTCAGCCGGCAGAACCCTCCCATCTCCCTCCACCTCCTTGGCCCGAGCTGGCTTTGGGGACACAGTCCCCAGAAGCGTGCAGTTTTGGGATGGGGATGGGGGGCGAGGGGCGGAGCACGACCACAACCAGGTAGCGAAGACACTGTGTGGAAGGCAAGGGGCCTAACTCCATACCGCTGACCGAAGGAGGGACCACACTTTGTCTTTTTGTAGAGTCCTCCAGACAGGGGAGAGAAAAAATCCAATCAATTCCAAATAGGCGGACGTTTCTTCCGGCCTGGGGGGGGCCTCGGCTGCGCAGTCCGGGTCCCCTGTAGCCTGAGGGTACCCTTGCCGCCCCGCCTGGGTCCTGCGGGCCCCAGCTCTGGGATTGCTGACCAGACCGTGCTCCAGTCGTCCCCACCCCCACCCTCGAGTCTCCTTCCCTCCAGAGTCCGCGCAGCGGAAGGAGGAGGGACTGAGTCGGGGCCGGCCGGGCCCGGCGATCTGCTGGCTGGGGCGGCGCCAGGCCGGGGCCCGGCCTCGCAGCCTCCGCCGCCAGGGCTAAGCGCACGCCGCGCATCCGAGAGCGGCAGAGCAGAGCACCAAAGCGGCAACCGCGGCTCCGTAACCCAGCCCAGCTGGCTCTCCCGGCGGCAGCGGTTGGGCACCGATCGCGGCGCTGGGGCCCTCGGCTCAGTGCACTAACTGGCAGGGCCGTAGCCCGCGATCGGCAGCTGTTCTTCGGGACTCGCGCTGCCCCTTGGGTGCGCTCAGCTCTCCAGAGCGCTGGAGTCCCCTGGCCGGCTCCCGGCAGGTCATCCGGCCTTTGAAGCGCGCACACCTCCTCCTGGAGTTTTCTGCTCCTTTCCCGGGTCGGAGGCCGCAGTCTGATGCCCGACCGCACCCGCGCAGCCCCTGTCTCCCCCCGCAGCCCGGTCATTGGGGCCCCTCAGGGCATGGAGGGCCGAGGCCCCTGGAGAGCGCACCGGAGAGTCCCAGGCGCTTGTCCCCAGCCGGACCCGGAGCGGGGAGGGCCAACAACTTTCTCCCAAGTCCCAGCCGGCACTCCTCCCCACCGGCCTGTGTTGGCTGCAGAGCGCAGCTCCGGCCCCGGAGTCGACCCCAAAGAACGCGCCCGGCAGCCCTTCCCATCCCTACCTCGGACCAGGATCCGGCGGCAGTAATCAGGGTCGGCTGCGGAATTGGATTTACTTTTGTTACAATCCTCAGCACCGCCCGACGCTGAGAAGGCGCCCTGCGGCTCCTTGAGGAAGGCGGCTGGGAGGTTCCCCTCTGCGCCCTTGCTCTCCCGACTCTCCTTGTGCGCGTTCTTCGAGACCCGGGCAGCCTCGGCGTCCGAGTGGCACCGAACGTCCATTTTGTCTGGTTTCCCGAACATAGGCAAGAACAACAACAACAACAGAAAGGAAAAAAAAAAAAAAAAGCCAAAAAAAGGGGGGGGAGAAGGAAAAAAAAAAAGGAAAAAAGGGACAAAACCCCCGACAACGTAGCGCGTACGCCCGGCCCGGCGACAGGCAAGAGCCAAGAATGAATGTCCCCGCGGGGAGGCTTCGGCGGCCGCGCGCGGGTCAGCGGCGACGGGAGAGTGGCGCGCTCGCCAAGAGGCGGCCAGTCTGGTTCAGGATCCCGGTGGAGCTGCGGCGAGGCCGCCTCGTCAGCACCCGCGTCCTCTGAGCACGTCCAGTGTACCCAGCCTGGCGATCAGGTAGCGAACAGCGCAACTCCGAAATGCTGCGGCTCCCGCCTGTTTCTGAGACGGCGAGTTGTAGTTGTCCGACACCCGGGGGGACGCACACTCGCTGTTGCAATTGATTACGGGTAATTTCGCAGCCCCCACGTTTCGGTTACCTCATGAATACACTAAATTGTTTGGATAATATATCAGATCGTAATGGATGGTTTCTGTCCTTGTCCCCAATCAAGTAGGGGTTTAGCCAGTGAATAAACGGAAATGATTGGTCTTGCTTTCAGGAAACACACAATCAAAGACCCACACTTCCAGAAAAACTTTTGACAAGATTCATCCTGAATTGTTAGTACCATTAGCAGGCATTATTAACTTTCCTTTTGCCTTTGACCCTCCTGCTCACACACTGGCTAGAGGGGTTTTCTCCACACTTGCCAGATAGAGCTGAATGAGGGTTGGGCGGTGGGGGCGGGTGGGGGGAGGAAAAAAAAAACCCTACACACCCAGCAGCAGAAGAAAGCAGTTGCCTGGAAGTGGGGGATGGGGGACAAAGGTGGGGGGAGAAAGTTTTCCCAAAAAGTATCTCCCCTGCACTCTAAAAAAGCCAAGCTTTTCCCCTAAACAACTCCTTCTTAACACACCTCGACGCAGACAGCCATCTTAAACTGCCACCTCTCTTCATTTAGTTCCAGTTGGATTTTTTCATGCCTGCACCTCCAGCAGCCCTGAGGCAGCCCATTCAAAGGGCAGCTTTGTACTCAGAGTCCAGCAGGAGAGAGAGGGGGAGAGGGAGAGACGGCCGAGAAATCTCAACTGTGAGATCTGCTTCAAAAAAAAAAAAAAAGTTTTCCCCTAGCTATTTCATTGTCTCTGCTACAATATCTTTGAGAAAAGCAACAGCCAGTAATCCAATAAGAGCATTGATTAGGCTACAATGATTCAATTCAAGCGCATGGCCTTGTGCAAGGAGCATGCTCCAGCCCTTCTCGTCACCTTGCCGGGGCAGAAGCCCTCTCCACGCCGCTCTCCCCATTCATTCCTTTATGGGAAATGCGGAGCAAAAGGAGTGAAAGATGGCAATTATCTAATTGGACTATTAACAAACAGTCCTCTGAGTGCGGCGGTCTGGCGTGGCTCCTGGGCGGGGGAAGGGCCGTGTTCCCTGCCCTCATTCACAAAGAGTGCAGGGGCCGGGGAGGAAAGGGGTTTTTTAAAGGGGGTGGGTGGGAGGAGAGGAGAGGTGGGAGGTTTGGCTGAGAATTTTTCCACACAATTCCAAGAATGGGGCGGAGGCGGGAGGAGGGGAGGGGGATGGGGGCGGGGGTCGCGGCGAGCGGGTGGGCAGGCCGGGAGGGGGAGGGGTGCGAGTGTGTGTGGCGGGCCCCTAGGGGCTCCAGCTCGCAGCGATGCGCGCACCGCCTGCACCGCCGCCACCTCCCCGGCCTCCGCCGCCACCCTGGGGGACCCCTCTACCGTCCTGAGCCGAGAGGGGGCCCCTGAGCGGGGTCTTTCGCGCTCTCCACCCAGCCACCCCTCCCGCCACTTAGGGGCACCCAGGGTTGGCCCAGCTCCGGAGGGCATCTCTGGCCCTGCAGGCCGACCTTGGGCTTCCACTTTAGTTGATTGGGCTGAGCGGTGGAACTGTCCCGAGCTCCTCTCCGTCGGGCGGCGGGTTTCCAGGGTCCCCAGCGGGCTGATCGCCCCTCAGCCTGGCTTCGCTCCGCAAGCTGCCCTCGAAGCCCGACGCCAACTGGGCGACCGGGGAAAGTGCCTTTGATTGGCCGCTCTGCTCCGGCGGGTCGGTGGGGCGGGTGGGAGCAGAGAGGGGTAAGAGGTAAGGGCCTTTGCGGCCACCCTGTTCTGAAGATGTAGAGTGGGATTGTGTTAAAATCCGGCGAACTCTCCGGTTACCTCCCGCAACGCTCAAAAACCCAGACTGGCCTCGAGGCACTGAGGGCTTTGCTCCCCTACGGCTAAGCCGTCGGGGGCGCAGCCGCCGGGTCTTGACTCCCACTACCGCGTCGCCGGTGCGGGTCCCTGAGATTCGGGTGCCTCCTGATGGGGCCTTCTTTTCCCTGCAGAGCTCGGCCCAAGGGAGCTCCTGGGCCCCCTTGGGCAGGGAGGAGTGCGACCGAATCCCCCGGCACACCGGCCCCTCCTTGCCTCCTACCCTGGCGGGGTTGGAGGGGTCGGACCCTCGGACTACGCCGGATTGGGTGCGCAGGAGGATTCTAGGCCTTCCTCAGCCCTTTAGGAGCCCTGCAGGCGGCGGAAGTGCCAAACCGTGGCCTTGGCCCAAATGGGACCACCTCCGGATGGCTCTGGGTCCCCGGCCCGCCGCACCTCTCTCTACGGCCTCCTCCTGTCGGTGAAGGCCGCAGCGGCCTGGGAAACCCACGGGGACACCTGCGGCCCCCGGTCAAAGACCCGGAAGAAAGTTTTTAAAAAAATAAAAATGGCTCAACCCATTACATTTTCTTTCAGGTAGATGGGGGAGCTGGGGGGCGGGGCGGGGCGGGGGCAGTCCGGAAGCAAACAGTTGCCCTTAGAAATGACACACCCTGCGGGCAATGGCGGCCCTGGGAGGTCCGCAGCCGCATTCACTGCCACAGGGAACGCCCAAACTGTGGCCAAATCCCAAATGCAAATTTTAAGTTTGGCCTCGGAAATTTCTGCCCTCTCTCATCTTGTGGCATATTTTGTTGTAAGTGGAAACTATCTGTTTGTTGTTGTCGCCAGGCTGGAGTGCAATGGCGCAGTCGACGCTCACTGGAACCTCCGCCTCCCGGGTTCAAGAGATTCTCCTGCCTCAGCCTCCCTAGTAGCTGGGACTACAGGGGTGCGCCACCACGCCCAGCTAATTTTTGTATTTTTAGTGGAGACAGGGTTTCACCATGTTGGCCAGGATGGTCTCGATCTCTTGACTTCGTGATCCGCCCACCTTGGCCTCCCAAAGTGCTGGGATTACAGGCGTGAGCCACCAAGCCCAGCCTGTTTATTTGTTAAACTTATTTATTTTTGAGACAGGCTCTTGCTCTGTCGCCCAGGCTGGAGTGCAGTGGCACCATCACGGCTCTCTGTAGCCTCAAATTCCCAGGCTCAAGCGATCCTCCCACCTCAGCCTTCTGAGTAGCTGGGAGTATAGAGGTGAGCCACCGTGTCCAGGGGAATTATTTACGAAGCAGTCACTTATCAGATGCATAAACTCACTTAATCTGAACTCCTCCTTCAGAGATGTAGTAATATTCCGTCTTTATAGGTGAAAGAATGGAGACTCAGAGAGAGGTTCAGTAACTTGCCCAAGTCACACAGACCGGTATGTGCAGAATTTGAATCGACTGATGCCTGACTTCAAAGCTATTCATGCTCTTCTTTGCCACACCCCACAAGACTCTGCCCCATTTTTAGTTCCAAACCCATACTTGCTTTGAGTTTTCCAAATCTTCAGGTGATCACGTGTATATTAAAAAGACACAGAGCAATGACCTTAATGTTAATGCAAGGAATCCTCATTATTTGGCATCAATTTTCATGAATTGTATCTAAACAACATTAAGTAGAAATTGAATCATGAAATTATTGTCTCTGATGATGCTATTTATTTCTAGCCATGAGCATTTCTTAGGAGTTTATCACTTTTCTACTAGCTGATCGGGGATGAGTAAAAAATCATTTCCTGGGTTTCAAACTTACAGAATGATGGTCTGAGAGCAGTGTCCAGGAATTTGCATTTCTACCTGGCTTGCCAAAGGATCTTTCACAAATTGAGTTAGATAATTTCACCTTTTAAACTTCGGTGACTCCACTAAGCTTCCTGAGGGCAGGGACTTCCATCCCTCCTTCCTTAATGGACATGCAAATATTTATTGAGAAAAGGCATAAAATGGGATATTCTGGCTGGGCACAGTGGCTCATGCCTATAATCCCAGGACTTTGGGAGGCCGACGCAGGTGGATCGTTAGGAATTCGAGACCAGCCTGGTCAACATGGCAAAACCCCCGTCTCTACTAAAAATGTAAAAATTAGCCAAGCATGGTGGCTCACACCTGTAATCCCAGCTACTCAGGAGCCTGAGGCAGGAGAATCGCTTGAACCTTGAAGGTGGAGGTTGCAGTGAGCTAAGATCACGCCACTGCACTCCAGCCTGAGTGACAGAGCAAGGCTCTGTCTGAAAAAGAAGAAAAGAAGAAGGAGAAGAAGAAGAGGAGGAGGAGGAGGGGAAGGAGGACGGGGAGGGGAGGGGAGGAGGAGGAGAAAATGGGGTATTCTGGAAAAACAACTAATTTAATTAGGCAGACATTTACCAGGAGTCTGGAGGTGCCAGGACCCAGGTAGCCCCTGAAGGATATAGGCCTCATCTTTGCATCATCATAGACAAACCCAGTAATTAAGAAAACTCACTGGCTTTAGGTTAGTCATGGCTTCAGGTTGGCAGCACAAATGAAGTAACCAAATTAAAAAAGAAAGTCAACTTGTAACCTGGTTTTGCTTTTTGTTATACATGGTACTTTTTTCTTTTTTTCTACTTCCTTCCTTCCTTTCTTTTTTGTTTCTTTTTTCTTTCTTTCTGTGTGTGTGTGTGTGTGTGTGTGTGTGTGTGTGTGTCTGGATTAAAATTCTGTGGGCATCCATCCAGAAAAACCATGACAGGTTTCTGAGAGGACACAGTGGAGGACGGAAGCCCTGGGATGGAAATTTCAGAAAAGCAGCTGCTAGTCCCAGAAAAAAACTAAAGCTGTGTGCTCACTGGCAAAGAAAGAAGAGAACTCAGTCAATTATTTGGATAATCTGAGACAAGCCTGTACTGCACAACACACACAAGGACACAAGGCTGCTCCAGGTGAAAGTGTTTTATTCTCTTGACTAAATTTGCCGCCCTCCTCAGTGCCCTTCCTGCCCCCACATCACTGTCTGCAGGTGCAGAC